ATATTTTATTGAAAACATTAGGAAAATATGTCTTGCGGTCTTTAAGTAGAAAATTGCGTCTTTGTCAAATTGTATACTTACAGAAAGGGTAATTTTTCGTTTTGAAATGTTTTCAGATTCCCAACATATTTTAAACTCCAACTGGGATTGTATTTCTGTTTGTGTTTTATAGTCTTTATTCTGTATAATTTTTTTAAGAAAAAAATTCATTCCTAGTGTCATTATAAAATCTCATATGGGGCTGATGAAATGTTACAACAAATGTGGATTGTGTTGTATACTTAATGATGGGTATAATCAAACAGAGAGATGTGGTGCCATTTGAACAGACAGTGCGTAGTCTTCAAGAATCTAAGGATTAAAAACTCTTTATAACCGGTATATGTCCTTTCTTCGAACATGAAACTTGACGAAGAGTTGGTTTACAATCAAAGGGGCACAGGAATAAATGTTTTTGTGTCCGTTTCTTGTAAACCGTTTTTTAATTGTACGGGCACCAAAAATCGACGAAGAATATGCACACTTTTTACGTACTGCTTTTTACCAAATGTGCTTTCACAGATTGCTAAAAAATAAGATATTCAAAATCCAACATTTTGGCATGTCTCAAATATTACGAGGTTAGGCCACAAGTTGATCGTTACTAAAAGCCCATTTTTCTTGTCCTCCCCAATAGAAAAAAACATTTCATAATTTGTGTTAACATTGCACGAGATCGTTTACTGTCTGTAAATACCATCATAATAATGGCACCGTTCTATAAAAACGTCCTGCCTGGGAATTTGATCGCTTTCGCCCATGCAATAATAGTTGAAGCACGTTTGTTGCCTGTCTTAAAGCACACTTTATGTTATCTCTCTCTTGTTCGGTTGGGTTCCCAGTTTTTTATAGTTCTTGGAACAAGCCTTGCTTCCCTTGGGAAAATTAGCCTCAAAATTGGGAAATATGGCCATTTGTTTTCGTTGAAACTCGCGATAACCATCACTCTTTTTTAACGAAGGGGTATATAATCTTGGTACACAAATTCGTCATCTGCTGCGAGAGGGACTGAGTTAGTTCGAATGGTAGCAAGAACCTAGTCCAATGACATTTGTTTTACTGGTTGCATGATAATCGGTGATTTTGGGTTCGCTCTTTAGGAGCTTTCCAGATAGGATTACAAAACCGAAGAGATTCAGTTGCCAAATCAGCGGACAGGCACTCTGAGCCATGAGACTTGAACTGAGGATAAGAGAAAACAGTCAAACCCTAGTTCCTCTAATCCGCACCACGACCTGATATCCCACAACTTTTATTAATCTAGTATTTAACATGCCGTAGAAAAAATAATAAAATTTTACCACTGGTATTTTACGCGCAATTTACACCATCGATTCGTGACATCTGCCACTTTCCTATCGCATTGCGATTAACTAAACTCTGAGTTATTTTCCCTCACGTAAACCTGAGGAAACATGATCTTGGTTTGATCACTTTTCTTAGATAGATAGGGCAGTAATTGATAGACGACGTTATCTTTAGCGACGGGAGTCTTCTTAACGATGTTGGGGTCATTGATAGTGTTACCGATAGAGGTGATGGTCAGAAGAAGAGGAGGCGTTAACCGGGAGGGGCTTATTATCGGTCTGACGTTTCGACTAGGTGCTTCGTCTAGTCGCCTTCAAAGACTCAGATGTCATGCACACAGCTCTCCTTATATGGCGCACTTTGTTCGATGCGTGGCCCGCCAATGCTGCATGTAACCCGCGTGTCGCCGTGACCTGAATCGCTCCTGCTCTCGTCGGCCGTGGAGATAGTTGACGGTCCAGATTGTCCCGCTCAGTGACTATGCCTCGTTAGGAAGGATTGTGAAGTCAGGTAGGGGGAAGGCAATTGATGTGCCGTTTGACACAGCAGTCGGTGGACATCCAGGTTTCTTGCACCTGCCTTTTGTTTAGTCATCGGCGTCAAAGTTGAAGATATGTCTCATTTACGCGCCACCGGTTTTTGATCCAACCGTCACACAGTCAACTCATACTGGTGCGTTCGCGTTTGCAGCCGTCGGCCGGTTTTTCCAAAGTAGTTGCACCTTCCGAAGCTGCAATGAAGTCGGTGGATGACGGTCGACATCTCCTGCTTAGGCCTTTTGTCTTTTGGACGCATCATTTGCCGCTGGACTCTTGAGGTGATGATGTCTTGAGAGCCGTCAAGGTAATCTCTATAAAAATGATAGCTTAGGCATGAGACAGTTGCGTTTTCCAGGAGACACGGATCGCAATGAGGAGGAGGAGGATGATTGGGGCAAATCCAGCTCGACTTTTCATATCTGGCGTGCTAAGAGTCATCATAATGCTATAAAATTCTTGGTTAATTAAAATACCAACTGGAGATACAGTTGAAAAAACTAAGTAAACTGGATTTTACAGCCTCTTTTTTTCATCAACATCAACAACCTCCACCGATCAGCGGAGAACGCGTCCTAATTCATGTGAGTTAATAGGCAAACGCTGACGGGACATTCGATAGGCCGATGGAATGGCTCCGTAAGTTATTGTGTTCAAGCCACCTCTCAGTTGCCTCGCATCTGTCCTCTCATCCGGAGCAAGATGAGTGGGTAAAGCGTGAGCGTAACATCGATGCCCGTCAACGCGTCCCCACTACAACCCATTTTAGCACTGCTCTCATGGGAAAGTAATTGTTTTGTCGAATCCGCTGGAAAAAAACAATTGGGTTGCTTGTTTCTTTTAGCTTTTCCTTAGAATATGCGACATCTACTGGACTTCGATTTGCCAACCCAATCCTCTCCTTTGTCTCCTGCTTAAACGATAGGCATAATGACTAGCGATTGTTAAAGACGGTAATATTTCGAGTCGCTTATCTCGGTTGTCCTCCGTCCCTGCAAAAACGTAAGTTAGCTGCAGTTACCTATAATAAAGTCCCTAGTTAAAGGACAGGCGTTGCTTATAAAGAAAAGTTTGAGAAAGAGAAGGTTCAATTTGTAATGCTGACGTTTAATCAGCTGAGTGTTTTAAACTAGAAATAAAACGAAAACTTGTGACTTTCTAGATAAGAAGCAAAAATAAATTAAACGCACTCGTTTTCAAATGCAATGCCTATTGGCAGTCTTGCGCAATCAGAGGATATCACATTTTCGGAACGAATAAGTGTACTGTAAACGAAGATAAAAAGCAAAACTGTAAACTTGATTTGTGTATAGACGGAAGTTCAGCCCTAAGATTAACAAATCACATACACTTGGCTGATCTTAAGTCAAGAGTGAGAGAGATCACTGGGGTTAAAAGCTGCGGATTCGGCAAAAGGGGCAACTGCTTGCAATGTTGAGGCTTACTTTTGTATGTGAAAACAAAAGTCTTTTCTTGTTTTTGATTCAGAAGACCTAGCGACATAACGCTACCGCGGAAATATCATAGTGTCCGCAAAACTGATGAATTCTTGAATGCATTAGTTTACAGAGGTTCGATGAAGTCAACTGGACGGTTTTCATATTCTGCGATGCACACAAGGCCTACCTGCTTGCATTGGGAAGCATAAATTTGACGATCCTACTTACCCGAAATTGGAGTGTGTCCTTTTAGACAATAAATGGCAACATATGCTCCAGGGCACATCCCGAAAAGGGATTAAGCATTGTTTGTTATTGTTAGTCTCTATCCGAAAGTCAAATTACCGAAAAGTACGAGACCCAAGAAACAAAAGTAGACAAGGCCCAGATCCCTATCAGAGAACATGACCCTAATGCAGTAAGGGGCGTTTTAGGAGATATGAGTGGCAGAAAAACAGCTGTCTCATCATTATTATGGAATGGAAAAAGTAAGCAGTAAAGCACCTGTTGATATGACCATCAGCATAGGAAATATTTACCTAACTGTTATCGCCTTCTTCCATTGTTTACATGTTGTGAAATGGCTTATTCGTTTTCCTGGTGTTTTCTATATAGTTTTCGCAATTTAAAAGAGAGCTGCCTGATGCATAATCGAAAAAAACAGTAACTTCACTCCTAATTAATTCCTCAACAACAGGCAAACTGGCCCCGTCCATCTATTTCCTTTGAGCGTCAGCAGTGACTTTCCTCATGACTGTCTGTTCCACATCGATAAACTTTTAATCCGGAAAGTAATACCGACGAAAATAAATAAGTCTGGGATGCGCATTTCAACAATCATCCGGCAGTCAGAATCACCATCAAGTATGAATGATCTACAATTTGGACCCCAATTCTTTGATCCTTAAACGTTAAGTTCTCCGTTCTACAGCTGGGTCACATGCTTGTTCTCCTGTCCGTTCCAATCGGGCATATGCACTAGCGTGTGAATGGGTGTTCACCGATCAGGCCTTATGGGCTGAGAATGTCCCGTAACCCGACCGCTGGACGCCACTTCACACGATCGTAAACCTGGAGTTGTCTCTGGCACCTTAAGCACAGAAAGACTGTAAAACGTTAATTGCCTGCGCGCCAGCATAATGCGGGGTCCTTGGACGACAGTTCAAATTCCGCGGCACCACACGTTCAGTGAGTAAGGTTGCTATACGCATTGCAACGAATGTCGGATAAGAGTTTTTACTCGACGTGATGCGGTGTTCCAATTTCTGCTGATCAATTTGGCAATTAAATACTAACTAACTCAATACAAAATGAAAATTGGTAAAAATCGGGAGATGGCACCCAAAGATCCGTTGCCTAAGATTACTACCTACCATGCCAATAGAAGCGAAAAGACGAGTCCCAGGAAGCAGTCTTGAAGAAGAAGAAGACACGATCGCCGGGACAAGAGCTTTATTATCATGACGTTTCAGATTCCTGCTCGAATCCATCATCAGAGACATAAGCAGATAGGGGTGGTTCATGCACATGTGACTGCAGTATTTATAGGATGCAGTAGCCATGCCACCGCATACCTATGAATGTTCACGGCTCCCTCCCCTTCATCAGGGATCGTTGCACGTGGCGTGATGGTCGATATTCGCGTCGTTAATTGCTGTAATTTCATCACGTGCGTTGGATGTTGGTGCACAACCTGTCGTCAAAGGAGCTGACGAAGGATCAGATGCAGGTCTTAAGGCACGAAGCTTCATTCAACACGACTGATGCTAAACCTGTTAACATGATTGCAGCAGTGGAATCAATCCTTTGTCAGACGGAGACAACGGAGGAGACCAAGAGCCTCATCCGACACCAAGTGTCGTCTCTCCTAATGGCCCACAGGCCGCGGGAAGTGCTTTCCAAGGTCGAACGTGATGCGCTTAGAGAACTCAAGGCCGAAAAAGACTTGGTCATCGTGCCAGCGGACAAGGGGCGCTCCACGGTTGTGCTGGACAGGACAGACTACATTCAAAAAGCCAAAGGTTTGCTGGAGGACCGACAGTTCTATGTCCCATGTGCAACGAACCCCGTAAAAGCGCTGACACGCGAAATCAATGCTACGTTGTTGGCCTTGGAGAACTCAGGTGCAATAACACCGACCGACAGACGCATGGCGAGACCCCAAGATACGGCTTTGGCCCGATTCTATGGCCTCCCTAAGTTGCACAAAGACGGCGCTCCTCTCCGACCCATCGTGTCGCTCAAAGGGACTCCAACGTACGGACTGGCGAAGTGGCTGTTCCGGCGTCTCAAGTTCCTGACCGCTGAGTCAGACACCACGGTCTCTTCGTCAGCAGAATTCCTGGAGAAACTCAAAGGGGTAAGCCTCCATCCAAATGAGGTCATGGTATCTTTTGATGTTACGTCCCTTTTTACTTCTATTCCCCAGGACCTGGCGATCGAGACAATCGAGCTGCTTCTACAAAGCAAATACGATGAAACGGAGAATCGTCTTGGACGCGCCCACGTCCTTCAGCTCCTGAAGTTCTGTCTCAGGACGTACTTCACGTTCGACGGGACAATCTACGAACAGGTGAAGGGCACACCAATGGGTTCGCCGATTTCGAGATTCATCGTCGAGGCGGTCCTGCAACGGTTAGAGTCGCTGGTCTTCCAACACCACAGACCGAAATTCTGGGCCCGGTATGTGGATGATACCTTCGTCGTTATCGATCGGGATCAACTGCTGACATTCAAGGAACGTCTGAATGCGGTCTTCCCGGATATACAATTTACGATGGAGGAGGAAGAGAACAAGCAGCTGGCCTTCCTGTATGTCCTCGTATGCCGCAAGGATTGTGGTGGACTAAAGAGCAAAGTGTTCAGGAAGGCGACAAATACGATGCAAGTACTGAACTTCAATAGCAACCACCCAATCAGTCACAAACGCAGTTGTGTAAGGACGCTCTACCGGCGTGTCGAAACACACTGCAGTGAGCCGGAAGACAAAATTGCTGAACTACAATACCTCCGACGGGTCTTCAAAGCCAATGGCTACCCGCGCAACATTGTCAACCGGTGCATACGCAAAATGGACGAAAGGCCTAACCGTACGGACACCAAAGTTTGGCGAGCGCTTCCATATGTCAAGAACGTTTCGGAAGCTGTTGGCCGCCTTCTCGCACCGCTGGGGGTTGGAGTTGCACACAGGCCAGAGGCAACCATCAGGCGTCAACTGATGAAACCAAAAGACCCACTGCCACGGCAAGAAACGTCTGGAGTCGTTTATCGGATCTGATGCAGTTGCGGACAAAGCAACTACGTCGGAGAAACCGGAAGACAGCTTTGAACGCGAATGGCCGAACACGCTGCAGCAGTGCGGAGAAACGACTCCAGCTCTCAAGTTGCGGCTCATTCGACGGGTTCCGGCCACACATTCAAATTTGACGAGGACGAAATTCTCGCAAGAGGTGACAACCGCGTGATGCGGGAGCTGCTTGAGTCATGGTTCACTGGCCCCCAGTCTATTAGCAAGTGCAATGATCTTCCCATTCAATACAGCGTGCTGAGACTTCGTCTAGGCGAAAAAATTGGCCACGCGGGGAGCGCCCTGATGAACACTCTTCCCAACACCCGGGTCAGCGCGTCAGATGGTCGAGCAATCATCACACCAACATCCAACGCACGTGATGAAATTGCAGCAATTAACGACGCCAATAGCGACCATCACGCCACGTGCAATGATCTCTGATGAAGGGGAGGGAGCCGTGAACATTCATGGGTATGCGGTGGCATGGCTACTGCATCCTATAAATACTGCAGCCACATGTGCATGAACCACCCTTATCTGCTTATGTCTCTGATGATGGATTCGAGCAGGAATCCGAAACGTCAGGCTAATAAAGCTCTTGTCCCGGCGATCGTGTCTTCTTCTTCAAAACTACCTACCATATCTATTTGAGAAGGTTATAGCCCTACATGTTTGTTGTTTCATCCGACCTGCAGTCCACATACTGCCTCATTTAGATTATCATAGTCTCCAACGATTGAAATGTGATCGCTGTAGACCGAGCTATGGTTAATCAACCTTGACCAAGGCTTACACGACTGACGAGTGACAGCAGTAGTGGGATTGCGGCTAAATCTAACTATGCATACCTTAGGAGTGTAGGGAAACGATCGCAGCGTCTGAGCACAGGTGCTTAAATGCCTCGCGTGTTTCTTAAAATGGTTTACGCCTACAGCACTGCTATTTGTTTACTTTCCATTCACCACGCTCATTTTTTGTTACTATATGGCGAAGAAGTAAAACCTCGACGTTCGAAAAACAATTTCTAAAAAAGTCTTATTATTTTTGACATTTATCCACGCATTCGAAGGCCTCACCCATAAAACCCCTATTACCACCTGCCACGTAATACAGGCTGCTTTGGTTGGGCGTATTTTTTGGGTGCCATCTCCCGATTGTTACCTGAAACTTTCCTATTTTTAATGCCTATGACATATTGGCGAAAGTGAACCAAAGAAAGAACTACAGGCGATGCTCTACACTAGCTATCACAAAATAATCCTGCGGCCTACGGTTTAGGTGGCTTTTGTACTTATCCTTTAAGAAGATTAACTATTTTGATTCAACAGTCAGCATACCGTCAACAGACAATTCAGATTTCGATAGGTTCGAGGGGTCAGTTCATGAAATATTTCATGGTTATAGTTTCATAATGAAATAAAACTACTTCTATTAACGAAGGGAATTTTATGGCTTTCCGTGGATCAGATGTTACCCGTATCGGAAGCTAGATGAAGTGAGAATGAAAGCTGACTCCTAAAAATGGACTAATGGCAAACAAAAACCATCACGCTATTATTGAATAAATCTATTCTCTGCATAGTTTGATGACCCATGTCAAACGTACTTGCAGTTAATTAAATTTTTCGCCATTTTCGTCCTTTGGAAATAAATTGATTATGGCCGATGACTCTAATCATTAACCGGCCCTCGTCACAAACGAGGAAAAAGAGGGCAGAACGTCCGTCGTTTTTCATTAATACCTCGGTATCCAGGTCCTGCAGTTAAATGGGATCTTCTTAAGCAGTTTGTTGGGAAAGCGACACAAAAGATATGTGCGTATTCCGTTTCGCGTCGCGTCTGCGTCCAGAAGCATTTATCTTCATTTGCGCCATCAACGCGCACGTGGAAGGTCATCCCTGGGCCTTGCATTTGGTGGCACTAACTGCGAGCCTAATTATGAAGGACGCTGAAGCCCTTTTGTCCTATATAGTTTCTACCACCCCAAGTCTTGAAATAAATGCAGGATGATAAATCTACTATGTATATTTCACGCCGAGCGAATGCTGTTTCTAAGAGGTCTAATCATACTTGAACTTACCCATACACTTCATTAAGATCGTCTATAATTCGCCATCAAAGTAGTCACTGTAACGTCTATCAAAATATTGCCAAATACAACTAGTACTTCATAATCAGACTGCTATCAAACACTTCAAAATGCATTCGTAAAACGTGCGCTCTGCCTTACGCAATTACAACTTTTTCCAGTTTTGAAGATGCCTGAAACTTACCGACAATTCCGGATGGCGGTAGGCTCTGTGGTGGAAGTAGCTCAAGTACAGATGGAAAACAGCCTTTGATCTAAGGTAGACGTCCAAATAATTGTAGACCTATGGCAGGGGAACAGTTGCGCGTTTTTCTCTGAAAGTGTCGTAGTCCCAATACACAGCGTTTTGTCAGATAACTTTGCCTTCAATGGAAAACGAGACCTCTCCTAGACAACTGTTTGTTTGCCGTGCGTTCATTAAACGCAACCTGACCTGTCGATCGATGCATGAAATACGGACATGAAACATGGTTCGCCCCTGAGAAAAATCAAAAAATGATGAAAAATTATTTCTTGCTTCCTCCTTTCGATGCCAGCTTATCTCAAGATTAACTGAACAGTGTACTTTTCATATCACCAAGCAATCAAAATTTAAGTAAAATGGGAATTAAACCCATCTAGTAAAAACCGGACTTAGCAAATATCGCGTTTCTGCCACTTTAGTCTATTTCTTGCGCATGCAAATACCCCATGCCGAAATAACCTCCAGTTAATTCGATTTTTTGTCACCTTCCTCTTTTTGTGAATGGATTATTTTTGACCGATGACTCGAAGGATGTAAAAGATACCAACTAAAAAGAGGAGGAGGAGAACAGGAAGTCTATCAGGAATTTTCGTTTTCTAATTTAGATATTCATAAATTATAAAGTAATGCGGCCTATCAGAGAAAAAAATCACTTACCGCAAAGGACGGTTAAAAGAATACGGTCATAAGTGTTCTCCCCTATTACAGGTAGCCTTGTGACAAATTCAAGAGGGTCATGATTAGAATTTAGGTTGAGGCCAAACTAGGCGTGTAAGTGATTGGATTGGGATTCAAAGGGTTAGTGTTATGGATCGGGTATTAGTTGGACCATAAAAATGGGTGCCCTTTGGCGTCAACCGCAAGTCAACCTATAGTAAGGTGAGCCCTTTGCCGTGTCTAACCGAAATATTTATCCGTTTCAGTCTTCCTACGGGTGCTGTGGCTTATATATATAGATGAAGTTTAGACGGTTGAAGTAAGCAGTTCAATACATTAATCGTTCAGCCTAGTCGTTTCGGGGCCATAATCTTATCGATTTTTGCAGAAGTCTTCAAGGGCGTGGCTTGTTTGCTATTAAAAGCCAGGCTCCGGAATTTTTCGCCTGCGAGTCTGATTTAGTCGACTATGGATATTGACAACACCTCCCCCCCTTTCCTGCCTAAACGCTCGGGTGTATGACCATACTGGCTACTCCCTCTACTACCGATGCGATAGCAAAATTAAAGGCACACTTTTGCCACAGTAGTTACAAACATCTATTACTCTCCTCTTCAGATTGTTTTTCTTTAATCCAGTCTAACTTCCACACTTTCAGCGGAAACCGACACAGAAAATGTAATAACTGAGCTTCTTCTGTTCTCCTGAATTCAGTCGGTTTGATAATCGACGTTTGGTCTCATTTAGTAATTTGTGTGAACATTACGGTAAGCGAGTGCACGCGACATTCGGGGTTCTGTTTCGCGGGTGTCATCTGCTGCTTGCTTCTGACGAGACCACAGACATTTGGTCATGAAAGCGCCCAGCTAGCCCCTCCTTTTCAACTAAGTACAGGGAGGTTAGGTTTCGCATATTGCATTGTAAATGTACTTTTGCGTGTTAGACCCTCACAGAGCGTCACTTCTGCCCCAGAAGGAGATTGCTCTTGACATTAGGAATGTGTTTTACATGTTGCTATTCGGCACAGGGTTGTTGTCGGACTCCGAGTTCATGGTCTACGAGGCAGAAATTTACTAATTATAAGTTTTAATTCTGACCAATCTGACATTCTGAATGTGATATCTGTAGAAGTAGAGTCTATAATGTAGTTTTCGCGGACCTCAATAATTCAGCCGACCAAAATGAAAAGAAAAACCTAATAAATCTTGGCGGGATCAGAAGGTACGACAATAAGGACAAAGCCTAAGTACAGCATTAAATGTTCGAAAACGTTCCATAGCGCTGCATGCTTTTTTAAAACAGTCCCCTCAAAATTGGGATTTTAAGATCATACGGCTGATTTTTCATTGTTTTACTTCGTAGACTATATTGCGGACAAATTATAATGTTGACCGATCGGAAACAGAGGTCTGACTACCCTAAGGTGTCGTTTCCTGTTGCGAACTTACCTTAATTTTCAAATAGTCTTAATCCGTCAAGCAATCCGAGAAACTAATGACCTGTCTCTTCAGCGTTCGCATTATATGAGCGCTGAGTAAGTGGAATTCTAACTGCTAATTGAGTATAAAATGTATTCCATCAAGTAAATACTGATTTTTCGGAAGTGAACATTTCTGACATGTTATTTTAAGATATACGGAATTCAAATGAACATGAGTGTATAAAAGAAGAAAATACTACTCCCAAAGCAAAATACGCTATTCAATGTGACTGCAGACACGTCTTAACTAGTCCCTTTTACAGATATTGTGGACTGTACTTATAGATGCTTGACTAAGTGTATCGTTAAATCTGAAGAGCTGAAATTATCCTTCTTAGTGACAGAGGTGGTGTATTGCAGGTGCATGAAACACCTCCTCGGGATGAAGGACGCGTTAGACCAGATTTTGAGTTGACCTCTCTTTCAACATGTGCATTTTTGACGTCAACGAATCTAGCGCAACAACCCTAATCTCATGAGATGGACAACGGATAATGTCTTACGTCTCTAAAGAATGGTCTTAAATACTCTTAGTGTTAGCTTGGGCTGTCTCATTTGAGGTTGAATTCATCGAACTTCACCAGTTTTCGGGTGACACAAATACAAACCTCCCCAGTTTACGCTCATCTTCCCTAGCACATTCCAAAATTCCCAAACCCGAACGAGGACTGCTTGAATGGATGCCTGGTACGGGGATTACTTCTGGTGATGGAGATATCGCGTCGGGATCCTATGTAAGTTCTATTGATTTTAAAAACTCTCCAGACAGCATGGATTCTTGGTGCGATGCTCACTTTATGCCGTTCATCTGGCAGTGTCTTCAGTCCACAGCACACGAAGCTCCACACATTTCCAGGTGGCAGCAACTAATACTGTGTTGCCGCTTCACTTCGTTAGGCATATAGCACGAAAGATTCTTACCATTTATAAACAGTTACTCCCCACTATATATTCTGCAGGTCATCCCAGGT